GGGGGGTTGGGGGTGTGTGGGGGGGGGGCAGGGCAGGATTGCTGGCTGGGGGACACTCCCAGCTACTCGAGACCTGACCTCTCCCAGCAGGGGGCACTCTGTGCCTTAGTTTCCCTGTCTGCAATGTTGCAGCTGCCGATTTTCAGCTAGGCCTGTGTGATTCTGATCCAGACCTGGACTCTGCAGCGCGTGGGTCATTTTGGATCTGGGATTTTAGTTTGGCTCCATCTCTAGTTTTGGTGGCCTCTTGGCCGCAATGAGCGAGGTGGATTTCTGGGCACAGTGCAGCTTTGCATTTAGACCTTTCCCAACCGATTATAAAGCAAACTAGAAAGAGGGCCAAATTCAAGAAAACTGGAGTCAGCCACTGTGTGGACCCCCGTCAGGGCTGGATTTTGAGCTTAGCTGCCCCGGACTAAATGTGGAGTCACCATTCTACGACAACATGCCTTGGAGGGTTGGATGCTGGAAGGGAAGTCGGGAAGGGGGAGGGGGGGCGCTTTGCCACTGATCCTGGCTAATGCTCTTCTGTTTTGTTTTGTTGGTGACTTTTTTGCGCCTCCTCTCAGCTGCTGGACCCAGTGGCTCCATATCGCTCCCGTTTCCTTCCTGGTTCTCCAGGCTGCTGGCATCCGGCAACTGAAACCGCACGGAAATAGTTAACAGCTGAACTACTGGATTCCTGGGTTCTCTCCCCAGCTCTGTTGCTGATTCACCGCATGACCTTGGACAAGTCACACACAGTCCCCTGCCTCAGTTTACCCCAACAGTGGGGATGGTTATCACCGCCTCTTGGTGGGGGGAGGGGAGCATAGTTAATGAGTGTTGAGAGCTTGGAGATGTGTTAGTTTATTGCTGCTCTGGAACCTGGCAATGGAAATACCGTTGTAATAATTAATCCCAGAGAGCTTTACAAAGGTAAGGAGCTGATAGCTGAGCTATGTGGAGGAATTGCCTGACCTGCCGCTGAAATGCAGCCTCCTCTGGCTGGGACACAGCAGCTGGAAGTGGTGAGGAATTCCAGGTGTGACGGGCAGAAAGGGGGCTCTGCTGGCCTGGAGCAACTGGCTGAACATGTCCAGCTTGTTCATGACTGTGGCGTACACTCAGACTTCCTAGGGCTGGGAAAGGGAACTGGTGGGTCAGGACATGGGTTCGGTTCCCTGCTGGGTCAGGCACCCCAGGGAAGCCGATTTGTTTTTCATTTTCTCGTTGGGGGTGCTGAAAGAGTTAATGGCACCCACGTGATCCCTCTGCCCTGATCCCATGCACCAGAATCTGATGCAATGGAAGTTTAGGAAGGAAGGAAGGAAGGGAAAGAAATGCACAAATAAATAAATAAATACCAAACGCTGCCCTCTCTGAGCCCAAATGGGCCAGCCCCAGGTAATCACTCCCTCTGAGTGGTGTGCATAAGAAGATTTTCAAGACATGGTCTGTGGAAAAGCCAATCTGTAAGGAGCAGGGAGTGTGGGGTGGGGGATGGCTAGCCACCAAGATGGGCTGTGCCCTAGAAAGAAGTGCCAACCCCCCAGAGCGGCACGGCACAGCACGCCGGAGTCCTCCTGGCACCCAGGAGCTGCTGGAATTCGTCAGTAATTAATCATTAAGCCTGTCTCCCCGGAGGAGCTGGGCTCTAGAGCCAGGATGCCTTGTGCAGGCCTCATTAATGTTGGGGCAGATCCGGAGTGGTGCAGGGAAGCAGAACCAGGCCAGCTTCCCTCTGGCTGGCATGCTCAGGACCAAGACCATCAATAACAGATCCAAACACGCCGGTATCAGGACAGAGAGGAGGACTCTGCCCCTGAACTAGGGAACCTGCACCCAGGCATTCCCCAAAGGCGGCCCCCAGGATCTGGGAGCAAGCTGAGCCCTTGCTCCATGGCCATTACAGGGGTGGGTTCGCTGGGGAGGGGGATTTTAAGGCTCCTCTGTTTGGGGCAGGGAGCCCATCAGTGGGTTGGATGCTGGCAATGAAAATGGGTGTTACAAGTCTTCTGCAAGGGCTGTCTCCCTCCCACTAGTGTGTGTTCCACACCCCTGGGTTGGGGTGCATGGGGGCTATTGGGTGTCTCCCACTAGTGTGTGCTACTGGCCTGCTGGGTTGGGGTGCTTGGGGGGTTATGTATTTAATGCAGCTCCAGGAGGGCACAGGATGGAGGTCCTGTCTCCAGCAGACACCCAGCGCCTGGCTCCAGTGCAGACGGGGAGAGCTGGTTTTTCCATTGGCATCTCAGCTCCTTTGTGTGTGTGTTTGTGGGTTGCTGGCTGAGTATACAAGTTATTGTGAGTATTCATACACCTAGGTCTTGCTATGTACCTGTACAGTGTGTCTTGCCAGCTGTGGGTGTTGCTGTGTGTCCATGTGTGTGTTGCTCTGCGGACGAGTGTCCATGTGTATGTGTTGCTGTGTGGGAACATGTGTGTGTTGCAGGCTGTACGTGTGGACACGTGTGTGGGTTGTGCCGCTGTGCGTGTGTGCGCACGTGTGTGTGGAGGGAGCTGTGTGCGAGTACACACGAGTGCGTGTTGCCGGCGGGGTGTGCGCGCGCGCGCCTCCCCCCGAGAAATATTCCGCGGCCCCCGCATCCCATGGCGGCGGGGAGGGGGGGACTAAAAGGGCCCCTGCGCCTTTAAGGCGGCTTGGCTGGCGAGCCCCGCGCGGAGCGCACCGAGCGCCGGGCGAGCTTGTGGATC